GACGCGGGTTCGTGCCCCGGTCCAGGAAGATCCCACATGCTGCGGAGCGGCTGGGCCCGTGAGCCATTGCCGCTGAGCCTGCGCGTCCGGAGCCTGTGCTCCGCAATGGGAGAGGCCACAACAGTGAGAGGCCCGCGTACCGCAAAAAAAAACAAAAAAACAAAAAACTACTGACTTAGAAAAAAGAACCAATCCAGATTTCCCCAAAGGTGATTTTGATTTTTCACCTCATGAAAATGATTCTGGGTCAGAGTGATCTACTCCGTTAAATTGGGTGATTGAAGAACCTGGCATTTTACCTGGTTATGGCACTTGGCTTTCAAGAGCCTATTTTTCTAACCTCTAAGTACAGGCCCCAGTGAAAAAAATACTGGGGAGATTCAACCTCTCTATGAGAAAAGGTCAAACACCTTTTCCAAATTTAAATTTTGCCTTAAATTCTCTCTGCCACACTGCCTCTGACATTCTTGAAAGTTCATGTAGTTCTCCAGAGACAGACTTCAAAAAGATGTTATTTTATCAAAGACTAATCTGTGTACCTCTAATTCAGCATTTTATGTCTTTCACTTCCCCTGGGAAGGAGTAAAGCTCTTTGCTATACCTCTGGGTCTATTATATTTAATTCTGCTCTTGGTAGTCAAAGACGATAGAAAATAACTGTCACCTGAAAAACTCTTCTAGACGCCAGAGACTGGTGTTTGATGGATATTATATATTAAATAAAACCCATCAGCGTGGGATTATGTAGAAAAGCAATTTATTCCATTATAAGCGCTTACACAGTTAGTCATGGAGAGTAACAGGCCTGCTGGTGAAACAGGTCACCCAAAATAGAGATGGTATCAAACTAGTGGTCAAGGACTAACTCCTTTAAAAAATAAAAAAAAAAAAATAAAAAAAAAAAAGCAACTCTTATCCAGGATTAATTTAATTTTAAAAACAAATACAAGCTATTGATTTGCTCTTCTCAATTTAACTGGACAGTCTACCTGTGGTATAACTGTCAGGTAAAAACATACATCTTTACAACTTGGTGGTCCCAAGTTTTTTTTTTTTTAAACCATTTCACAGAAAGGAAAGAAATAATATGGAAACAGCTCAAGAAATACACTAACAAGCAAAAATATATGGGGAAAGAGGAACACATTGTTTTGACTTAACTGAAGAAACTGAGAGGAGACTGGTCTATGTAAGAAAATGTGTATCCTGGCAAGTTCGGTGTGAAGATTTTAGAGCAGGAATTTATATGACTTGAATCTCCCCTATTTCCTGAATAAAAATGACATCTTGTAGTATTTATACTTCATGGCTCAGACACCTACCTCACTTGGCTCTATTTCTTACTCACTCTAGCATTTACTTAAATGAGTCAGAAAAACTTGGGGATACAGCATAAGAAGAAAAATAACCACTCACAATATTCCCCTTTTTGTGGCTACTTTAGACCTCTGTTACTAGAAAATTCCTGAAGAAAATTTAAATATAAGTCTGTGGCTTTCCTGAATCAAGAAGCCCCCAGTTAATATTTAGAAAACACCTTCTGTTTGGACTAATAACATTGTTGATAGAACTTATTATAGAGGGATAACCAAAGTCTGTGTCTCAAAACCAGTGTTAAATCAATCTCAGGGTTGAGAGGAAGAAAAGGGGAGTCTAAAATCACAAGAAGTGCAGACATTCTCTAGGATCCTTGTCCTTCTGGATCCACGCTTCCTTCAGGGTCTTCGTCATTATAAATGTTCTCTGCCTGCCAAAACAAGAAAAAGAGAAAAGGATATTGAGTAAACATGAAAGTTACTTCTTGAAGTTAAAGTTTCAAATAGACGAGGCCAGGGAGACAGACTGTGGGCATATAGTCTGTTTTAACTATTCAACTCTGCAGTTGTTGGATGAAAGTAGCCACAGACAACCTGCAAATGGGTTAGTTGCGTGCCAAATAAAACAGGCAGCTGGCCACAGGCCAACCCCCCGGATTAGGATAGTCCCTAAAAACTGAAGGTTACCATTTGTCTTGATAATCAACCTTGAGTCTTTTAATCAGACAATTATTCGTAACAGTCAAAAAGTAAAAACAACACAAATGTCCATCAACTGATAAATGGACAAATAAAATGATATATCCATACAATGGAGTATTATTTGGCAATAAAAAAAGTCAGTCACATATTGTATGATTTCATTTATATTAAATGTGCAGAATAGGCAAATCCATAGAGAAAGTAGATTAATGGTTGCCTAGTACTGGGTGGACTGGAGGCAAATGGGAGGGATGGCTACTGGGTGTGGGGTTTCTTTCTGGGGTAACTGACTGTAGTGATGGTTGCACAATTCTGTGACTGTACTGCAAAACCCATGTTCTAAATCTCAATTTATAAATATTTAAAAAAGAGAAACTGTTCTTGCATAAAATAAACTCTACTTGTACGACTTGATGAAATACCCATATCCAAGAGCATCTTAAACACAGATGCCACTTTCACTTGGGCAAAACTTACTGTTCTTAGTATCTACTATGCACTTAGTATCACTAGGGTAGGTGCTACAGAGAATGGGATAGTCTTAGCTTTCAATCTGACTACAGGGACAAACAATGTATACAATTATGTGAGTAGTCTGACAACAGAAGTGTGGTATCTTCTCCCGTGCCACCAATGGGGTGTCCAACAACTCACTTCAATCCTGATGTTGACCACCTGGAGGTAGCACTGTGACCAAGGGCTCAACCCCACAAGACTACCCTCACTTCAGCAGAGGCCAGTGTCAAGCCCTGAGTGCCCAGGCTACCCACATACTCCTGCCCAACTTGGCTATAAATTTTCTCACAGCCACCCCCGCCCCCCAGGTTTGATGATTTGCTGGAATGATTCACAGAACTCAGGAAAGCGCTCTACTGGTTTATTATAAAGAGTATAACTCAGGAATGGCCAAATGGAAGAGATGCACAGGGCAAGGTGGGGATGGAGCGCAGAGCTTCCACACCCTTTCTGGTGGCATTGATATATTCACCAACCCAGAAGCTCATGAAATCAAAAGCTTTTTATGGAGCTTTCCCAAGAGTTTTTATAGGGGCCCCCTTAAGTTACCTCCTTAGCCTAAACTCAGGTGAGGCCAAAAGCAGCTACTTATAAATAGCAATAGAGACTCCTACCACTCAGGAAATCCCAAGGGTTTTGGGAACCCTGTGCCAGGAACCTGGACAAAGACCAAATGCTTACTCCTTATTATATCACAATAATTCTTAAAAACAAAACAAAACAAACACCCCCCCCCCCCAAACGGAGTAAAGTAACAACCTGGACTGGAGGTGATGGCCTTGAAGGTGATGTAGCTTAATCTCCTACAACATTCCCATGACAACCACTAAAATACCTTTCATTGACAGGCTATCTAAGGCAGCCCATTTCACTTTCTTGTTAGAACTCTAATTTTTTATATTAATTTTGTGTGGGTGTGTTACAAGGAAAAGGATAAAGTGGATTTTCTGTTAATACATGAAACAAATCCTTATTATAAAAAAATTATAATACAGAAAGGTATAAAGAAGAAAACAAGAATTCTCTAAACTACCAACCACATTTTGGCAAATAGCCTTCTATTAAATAGTTACATATAATTAAACGTAAGACTAGATACCCAAATTTTAATAAGAGGGATTCTATCATGCTGTTCTATAATTTGCTTTTTTCCTACTTATTAGCAGATCATGAATAGCTTATAAAACTAAGTATACTTCATTCTGATACATAATATTCCAAAGTACTGATGCAGTATATAATGTGTTAATCTCATAGGCCACAAATACTCCCATTTTATTTCTTTATTTTTGATTAATAGGGTTATTCTGTAAGAAAGTTCTGAATATCAAAAACTTTTTTCCTCATGTTGAGCCAAAAACTCACCTCTGGAGCTTCTTCCTGGCTCTAGATCTACTCTGAGACACCAAAGGTTTCTTTTGAATTATTTTCATTTATCAGGCTACTGTCACTTAAAAGTCATGCAGTTGTTTTGTAAATTGTGGTGAAAGACACATAACAAAATTGACCATCATAACCATTTTTAACTGTACAGTTCAGTGGCATTAAGTCCATTCACACTGTGTGCAGCTATCACCACCATCCATCTCCAGAAGGCAACTGTTTCTTGTATTGCTATATATCAGACATTACAGTTGCTTTTATTAAATTTCAAGTACTCTGAAAATTCAAAGGGTGATCACCTTCAATTGGGGTATAAAGGCAGGGAATGTTTTTGACATCTAGGTAAGATTCATGAAGAAATGGTACTCTTTGATGCTGTGACACTGCAGTAGGAACTGTGCTAGGTATGTTCATAAGTAATTTCAAGGGAATGATCATCCCTAAGGATTCGACTGCTAGCAAACAGGGAAAAACAGGAGGCAAGCCAACAATTAGGAGGTTACTGCAATAGCCCAGCAAGTAGTAATGAGAACCTGACCAAAAAACTAGGTGTGGAATACAAACAGGAAAGTTGGTTATATCTGTTTGTAAGATGAGTAAAGACAGGAAAAGCATTGCAG